TATTATATATACTTACTATGACTAAACTATATGTCTAACACCACAAAGAGGTTTCAACAGCTCTTTCCAAGGAGAAGCTGAAATCAGGAAGGGCTATGAAGTGCTGCCGTTGCTGTCACCTCTCCTGCAACAGCTTTCCTTGGCCTGTCACATCATGAGACAGGCTATCAATAAACTTTGTAAAGTGGTATTTGTGGTCCCTCTTGTGTCTGTAAGTTCCTATCAAAACCCTGACTTGTTGACACATCCTGACAGGCTCTGAGGATGGCTAGAAATGACAAAAGGTGGAAGCAGGAATGGAGGCTTGCTGCCTTGGGCAAGTTTGTTCTTTTAACACCGTGTACAAACATTCCAGCTTTAGAAAATCAGCCAAACTATTCACAGCCGTGAGGTATTAGGCAGGCATTTTAAACAAGGCTATTTAGATATAGATAAAATACCTCAACAAAATACTACTATGATGAGTCCACCAAGTAACGCTCCTTTTTAAATAAAATCATAAACCTCACCCTTTCTTTTGCCACACAGCTCTGGCTGCCTACAGCTTGTTTCTTCTCTCTGTGCCATCATTGCAGCCACACTGCAAAAGAACTGTTTCTCTTTCTCCATAAAACAAATCTGCACCTTTACTCACATCATATGCCATGTGCAGAATCTCTGCTTTCCCTGTCCTGTAAACACTGTTAGTATGTGAAATCACACACTATTTGCATGAGAACATATTCTAAGGAAAGCAGAAGACATATGCAAAGCTAAGCAAAGACATAAAAGAAGAAATTACCATCTTTTTCCCCACTGTTACTACTATCTGCTTTTTCTCTTTCCTCACTTGTTATGGTTATGACCTTTGTTGTTAGGACCACGTTAGACTAAGGGCCAGCCTCTGATGGGTGCCGAGTGCTCCCTGGTTTTGATGGGTTACTCAAAGCTGTTAGGACCCAGCTTCCTTTCCACAGGTATCCGTAAGCAGTTTAGGGCTGGGGAGTGCTGCTTACTTGAGAAGTGACATGTCCTTCTCTGGGAACAAAAAATACAAATAATGAGTTTGTTGAACATCCTAATCTATCAGACCATTTAATTGCTTTTTAATATTTTTCATAATTTCTTGCAATTGTTGCTAATATAAATTTCAAGACAGCGTTTAACCTGATATGGAAATTACACAATCACAGCCAAGGATTCTTTCTCTATGAAATACCAGCCTCCAAGGCAGTTCTTCGTGACAAGAGAAGGGTGAAGAAAAAAAGGGGGGGGGGGGGGGGGGGGGGGGGGGGGGGGGGGGGGGGGGGGGGGGGTGAGAAAAAGGCAAAGCCTGGCTTCTTTTTGCCCATGTAAGGTATCTCAGCCTAAGCATAGGGCTGCAAACTACATGCCAAGGACAGTTCTGGCCTCAGATCTAAGACTAGGCTCTCCTTTCTGTGCAGACACAAAGCACTTACAGCTTTAAAATACATGTATAAATGAATTGAGAGTTAAAAACTACTAGAGAATACTCCACGGGATTATCTGTACTATCAAGACAGGAAAACTTTGCAGATGCTACTGTCTCTCTAGAGGAATAAATGCTTGCAGTTTAATATTCTCAGCAGCTGGTTCCTGTTGAATGCCATCAGGATGATTCAGCCACCCACCAGGAACAACAGTAGCAAGTGCACACACAGACAAATCTGCAAAACTTTCTGCTCCTGATGCCACTCTTGGTACTTTGGCACAGTCTGATCTGTATTAGCTATTCTTCATTACTACCAGTAGCAGGTTTAACTTCACCCCAGGATGGTGAAAGAAAAACAACTAGTCCCTGGGGCTGCCCTAATCAATCCAACTGTCTGCTTCCTATCAGTAGTGCTTCCCACAATCCACATCATTAGCAACTTACTCTGTGGTTACCTCACTCACTTTCAGCCTCACCACAAGGACATGTGCCCTGCAAGCTTAAAGTGATGGCCCAGGCAGTCTGATGTCTTTCCCCCTACCGTGGTCACCATCTGATGAAAGGGACATCACCTTATAAACCTCATGGTTTCTACATGAGACTCAACTGCAATAGATTATTTCCTCATTCCAGCTGATGAACAATTTATGTCTAAAAATACAAATCTGCTATCTTTCCCCATTAAAAAAAAAATCAACCTCAGTGACGTTCTGTCTGTGGTCTGTGGACCACTTCCAGGTGTTTTATGGAGGTGCATCTGTCTAGCAGCAATAATGAGGCATTTACTTTTCCTCAAGCGGCAATGCTTCCTGACAGTTGTTGACTGGGTCAAATCACTCAAGGTTTCCTCTAATCCTACTGGGACAAATTTCTGCCTCACTTTTGTCTGGCACTTCTTGGAAGTAGAGTAAACTGTGATGCCAATCTGCAGAACCCTACTTGGAGAGGAGAAACACTAGAGAAGACAGAACTAAACAGCACAGGCACTCCTGCAGACTGGTGGACTCATAACCATAGATCCTGCAGTAGGGAAAGAGTCTTTCAGTAGTAATTCATGTGATGACTGACAGACAGACAGTGAAAATAAACAGCTCAAATGCAAAATGGTGGGAATGTAACAGAACAGCTGCATCCATCTGGTCAATAACACCCACTTAAGTTTTCCTCCTTAATACTACTGTAATTTCACTTGGCTTAATAGGAAAGATGCTTCAGGTGAACAATAATGCTGTATCAACATCTATTCTAAAATTATGGGGTATAATTCCATCCATACAGATCATCCCAATTTCAGCATTATTCAATGTTTTGAAAAAAGCCAAAAATCATGCTTTCAACATGGAGATAAATGTTAGCACTGACCAAATCAGTGGTGTTGGCCTTCCAACACGAATGACCTCAAATACTGGTGCCATACATATAGATAACTCCTCAAGTAATCTGTCAGAAAAATGTAAGAAATTTAGGTTTATGACCTGTGCCAAGTTATCTTGATGTGGAAGACAAGCCAAAATAGATAAGTCAGAAATTGTACATTGGATAAGTGGCAGAAACACTATGAACACAAGTGTTCTTGTGTCAGATCCCTGATGTACCCATACAGCTTGTGACACCTACTGCTGACTGTGGTGATATTCATCCTGATTAGAAGAGATCCTATCATATTCCTTACTTGCTCTACAAAGAGTATCTTCAAGAATTTGTGTCATTTCCAGAATCCAGAGTCATCCTTGCCATGATCTCAATTTAAATCAACGAAGTTATGGAACCACCACTTACTCTCTCTAATGAGTGAACAGTCAAGTGGCATTCAGAGTCAGCCAGGAGTGTTTATGAATATGGAAAAGAGAGACAGGAGAGCAGCAGAAACTGAGAGAATAATCTTTAATACCAAATGAAAAACTGAAAGAAAATTAATGAAAATTTTAACTACATGCCCGGTTTCCTGGTATTTCATCTTATGTAAAAAACAGGAATTAAAATTCACAGAAAGCAAAATCACTTAAAAATGGGGATTTAATTTAATTAAACAATAAAAACCAGTATTTTGCTTTTTTCTTCCCCTTTGAAAAAGAAAGAGAGGAAGGAGAAAGATAATATTTTAATTTCTTTTGCTTTTAATTTTTTTCCCCCAATTGAGGTTTTTTTGACCAGTTCTTCCAGTAAGCTATCTCACTGGATGCGATGTGGCAAGAAGAATCTGTAACCGATTGCGGTTTCAGGACTGAGAATGCATTGGATTGTCTTCTCTGTTATTTTAGCCCCAAAGTATATTTTAAATAGCCTTAAAGAGAATGAAAATTCTTCTCATATCAGTGACAGGGAGAAATGGCTTTAGAAAGGACTTTCATGTTTCTAACAGTTGTTATTTTTTTGTCCTTTTGAATATTTTTTTCTTTGCTTGCACAGATGCAACAGGATAGCCGTTTTAAAAAAGAATTTGGAATACGACACTCAGTAATCCATCCATCAACAAGAATATCCTGATATGTGTTTCTTGCAAGAAGTGAGTGTCATGGCGTTTCCTTCCATGCACTTTGCTCACATTGGAGACAAGTCAACCACACAAAACCAGTTTGAGAGGACGGCTTTTTTTTTTTTTAATCTTTTTAAAAGTGAGTATGAATGATCCAGACTGGCCCCATTTCAGTTCTTGGCCTACAATGGCAACTTTGAAATTATCATTTCTCTTAATCTATTTTGCCAGATTGGTTAGGACCAGTAAAGTATTTTCACAAAGAAACCCATATCCTTCAGAAAAATTATTTTTCTTTCTTAATAAAACTAACCAGATTTTTACCTGGGCCAGAGGATTTTATCAAATTTAAGAAGAAAACACTAATATCTTCCAAGTATGAAACCCTCATTACACTCACACTCAATAATGAGCATTATTTCACAGGTGAAGGAGGACAGGAGAGGAATGCCACAATATCTGAAGATGCAAAAATTCTTCATACTGAACTGTGTGAAATCCAGAGGCAACCTTGCTAATTGCACCTAATAATTTTTAAGTGTTTCACAGGCTATGTTTGTGCCATCTTCTCAGCTGCCCCTGAGATAGGAAACCACCAGCTGGTTTTAGAGTTGGTTGGAGTAATTTGAAGCCAGGGGCTAAGTGGCCTGTTCTAGGCTGCACCATGAGTGGGCAGTGGGTGAGGAACAAGTCCATTTTGTGATGTCCCAGACACCAGAGCAAAGAGATGTGTTGCTGGAAGAGAAACAAGTGGAGAAAACTAACAGTACACTTACCGTAATAACGTTTTACCCGATTCTTTGTTCCTTTGTTGGTAGGGAAAAAAAAAAAAAAAAAAAAAGCTGTGTGTGTCAGAAGAGCTTTCTCTCGCCTAATTAGGCCCCCCTTTCGTTACGCCCTGAACATTGGAGTTTTAATCCTGAGCACAGAGAGGCCTTGGGCAGAAAATGTGGCCAGTCTTTTTCACAAAGTTTGAATGTGTTCAGACCTTTCAAAACTGTACCAACCCCTCTCTAACCCTCAGATTAAGTAGTGCGTTTTCAATGCCACAATGAGCTAAACCCACTGGCCTCCGGTGAGATGGGAAAGTACCCGCTGCTTGAGAAGCCCTAATCCAAGGTGAATTATTGCTACTTTTTGTTACATTCTTAACATACTCTGATATTTCACCATTTGTTTTGATCTTATTGACCACTGCAGACTAAATTTGTTTCTTTTTTTTTGTCTTTAATAGCTTTACAATGCCTCTCTTTTCACATTACTTTCTGTGTCTATTCTCAAGACCTTCTCACTTTTGTTCCCATCTCTTTCCTTCCTTTTAACTGGACCTTTGACTTTAGCCACATATTTCTTTCATTTCTGCCTTATACATTCAAGTAGAAAATGAAACCCACTCTCTCTCATACTGTATCTCTTCTCTATTCATTCACTTCTTCTGCCACGAGTAACTCCTCACCTCTCACTTCAAATTCCATTACTCACCTCCCCATTCCCTCTTTTCTGTGTGTCAAAAATTTACCACCAGTTAGCCAGACAAGCAAAGTTTATTAATCCAAGCATAAGGAGAAGATTTCTGACAGTAGAGGGATCCTTAATACATCAGACAAAGGCATAGCTGAAGTTAAGTCAAAGTCAGACTCAAAACAAGTGGAACAGAGTTTAAAATCTTCAGAATAATTGTCTTAAAGATGGGGTCATTCCTAATGACTGCATATCCTGATTACATAAAGACTTTAGGATTATCTATTTCTGAAAGATATATTCTAGCTCAGCACAACAAAAGTGCTTTCAGAAATTCAGTAGGTTTTATCTCGTAGAAGTAACTAGTTAGAAATTTTGGAAGTGCCCTTCCTGGTTGACCATCTTCAGAGATGAAAAGGCATCAGTGTCCAGTCTGTCTCAGACTCTTCCTGGCAGTGTCTCTGTTGTTCCATCTGCTAACAGATAGTTTGGGACAATTTTTTCCTTCTTCATCTACAAGGCTATTTCTCCCTGTTTGCAGAGGCTCCCTTTCTCAAGCCTGGGCTTCACAGCTCCTTTAAAAATGGTGATTGCAAGTATCTAAATGGACGTATTCCCCTAGCGACCACCTGTACACTGAGAGAAAAACAGAGCAACTTCTACTTTTCAAAAATCTTTTCTCATTTTACTACTGCAGTCCCTGCCCCAGCTCCTGGTCAGGGCTTTTCCAGACTGCCTCCACAACCTGCCTGGCTCTCCCTGGTTCACTGAGGTCCCCAGAAGCATCACTAACAGCCCAAGATTAATACGTTTTTCCAACTACATGTTCAAAGGACCCTAGCAGCCACAGAGCTGTTAGGCCCAAGACACATAAAGTTATCAATGACTCAATTTAAATTAAATTAACATTTGGATATTTATATTCTTAATCATATCTATGAGAATATACAGTCATGTCTTAACTAAAGTACAACTGACAGATATGGAACCAATCAGCATCGAATACATGGATTTTTCAAGGTCTGTTTAAGTTCAGTCTAAACTGTGGGTTTATGGCATTACAAAAATTTACTGAAAAAACATGAGTTAATATTTGTCCAGTTCTTTCACATGAGAAGCGCTGTCACTGTTGTCAAAAAGTCTACTGTGGGCTTAAGTAGCTGTGAGAATGCAAAACAGTTTAAAATTTGAATAGCTTTCATAACTAATAGTAAGTTAGCAATATAACAGATGGTGACTCACATGAAAGATAAACCACATCTTAATAACAATAACTTACATTCAGAGGGGTAGTGTTTCCTGGTGCTTAGAGCATGAGACTGAGAACCAGGATTCCCAAGTTATTTTCCTGGTTCTGCCATTGATTTGCTGTGTGCATTTAGAAAAGTCACTCAAACATTTCTCTGCCTCAGTTTCCTCATCTGAAAAATAGAGATAGTTCTTACCAGTATCCACCAGACCATTGAGGGGAAGAGACTTAAACTGTCAGATTTTGCAATAAGCATTTTAGACAAATGAAGGTATGGAAGAGAGGTGTTGTCTGTTCTCCTTGTTGAGTCAGTCACTGATCAAATTGCAAAGTGGATACTTTGAGCTGAGCTAATACAGCCATCCCAAGAGCGGGAGGTGGCAGCTGCTTAACTGTGCTCCATACCCTTATGGTGTAGTTCAGGTCTGGAACTCAATATTGCCCTGCACAACTGACACTTCAGAGGGAATTCAAGGAGGCCAAATGCAATCGCCTTCATTGAAATTTAGCCAGGACATTATGCAATCTTTAGCAGCAGTCTGAATCTCTATTTTTATATCTCTGATAAAAATGAGCACCTAGAGCTCTCTGGGTTTCTGTCTTCATTACTTCATTTTGATCAGAAACAAGATTGCTTCTCACTCTCTGACTTTGTTTGGTGCAGTTCTACGGACTTTCACAAAGGTTCTCCAAAGAAAGCACCAGAAAAGTCTTACGGTGTCTGACAATGCAAAATGAATAGGCTAAAAAATAAATGGTCCCCTTAACTTTCTACTATATATGTTCTTTTGATGCTGTTGTTGTTATTTTTGTTCTTTATGAGGGATGGAAGTTTTAACTGTACCAGTAGTAGAGACTACTTACAGAGGGTCCATTTTTGTCATGCTTGTCAGACAGGGATGACTTTTATGAAAATAGAAGTAAAAGAATTGGATCAGGATGTTGAAAATTATTAGAGGAGAGGAAGGTTCCTTGTAGGGTACACCCTGGTGCTTCAGCAGTGTGCAGGCAATGACATAACAAAAGCCTGAAATCAACTTCTCTCATTAGCAGGGATGTCTGCCTCAGATCTGCTCTGCTTAGCACTCTCCAGCTATACAAGGTTGCTGTGGCACCGATAATTTTCTCTGGCTTCTGAAAATAGTGAAGAAGAAGGGATGATTATCTATCTATCTATCTATCTATCTATCTATCTATCTATCTATCTATCTATCTCTAACAGTTGATCTCACTGAAGAAGACTCTGGCATCTTCCTTACAAAGAGCTTTCACTGGTATTTCCTGATTCTCCAGCCAAAGAAATTATCACTAAACCCTTTTCTCTGGGAGGACAGAACAAAAATTATTTCTCACGCTGGCTTGATGGGATATGTAGTTGAGATTAACAGGTCAAAGAGTTTTAGGAGTCCTATTCAGAGGACTACCTAAAGAATATTCCATGTAACTAACTTGACTGCTCTCCAGATGGTTGAAACAGAAAAGGCCATCTGAGCAAAAATCAAGTTTTGGAAAGTGCCATGAGAAATTTTAGCCAGAGGATGTGGATTCTGCTTGTGCTGCCTTCAGTGGAAACAGACACACTCTAAAGATTGTTTTTTAAAATTTTTTGTTTTAAACCTTTAATTTCTTACAAAGAAATGTCTGGAAATTCCATGTTGTTATTTTCAAAAGTGATGAGCTCAAATCACAAAATCTGGATCTGGATGCCTAGCAGTGCCAGAAGTTCAGGAGAGTTTGGACCAAGAAGGCTGGCTCGGGCAAGTGTTGAGTGTTTTCCCAGGATTTTTTGAAGGCCAAGGCAAGGGTTTCAAAGAGGAGAGAGGCATGTGCAACAAGGCAGAGTTACAAAAAAACATCGCTTGGAATTTCCTGGGTTTTGCGAGATTAAAATTGTAAGTCTAATTAGTTTAAGGAAAATAGCTCTGTATAATTTTCATTTTGTATTGAAGAAGTAAGAAAAGTTAAAAATAGAATAAGAATGGAAAAATTAATGGGTTTCAGTAATTAGTTAATCAGAAAATGCTACTGTCTTAGTATGGCTGCCCAACACATTAAAAAAGAAAAAAGAGAAAAAAAAGCAACCATGACTTTCCTCATACTTTACAAAACAATGTAAATTTCACCTCTGAGCTTGGAACAACTACTTGACATTTTAACTCAGCTCATTTTTCAGTGGTAAGCCACTGAAATTGGTGTTTAGGTTGAAATACCATCTCACCATAACATTAATATAGACATAGAATAAATACACATATCCTGGCAAAAATAAACCAGAATTTGTTGCTCCTACTGGCCACATCACATTTACATGACTTGCATGCACTAATGAAATGTTAAATGGAAGGAAAACCTCTTCTGAGAGCAGACCTTTTCACCACGTGCTGAACTGGGGATCTCTGACATCTGAAAGCAGCAGGACGACTTATTACGCTGTAGGAAAACACATTTCTCTCGACAGTGGTGATCCAGTCTGAGGCCTCACAAGCCACACACTGGTGCACTAAAGAGACATGTGTTAGACAAGCTGTTTTGTCTCTTGGCTATCACCCTCCAGAGCACTGAACAGATCTGGATTGGGCTGGCTTAGAAAGAAAGTCAGATGAAAGAGTGAAGTTAAGCCAAGTCAAAACACAACTTTGGTGCAATTCCACCAAGTCCAAGTTATGCTAACAAAACTTCAGCAGAAGCAAGCCCGTCCTTCTCTATCCAGCCCAGTGTACCACTTTAAAGCAATAGCTGCAGCACTTGGCTTTCAGCTCTCTGCACCTCTTTGCTATATTTATTTTGTGTGGTAGCTAAATACACCTTTTATAATTATTTGAGTGTGTAACACCTTTGAAATGAAAGAATCTACTCTGCAGAGATGATGCTGAAGAAGTCTGAAGAGCATGGGTTTTTTTTCCTATAAATAAAGATGCTGAGCAACAGTCCACTGAAATGGCCAAAAACTTGAAAGAAGTCTTTTAATTCCCACTTACATTGCTCTCAAACTTCAGCCTTATCGTGGAGCTGTTTACTGATTGTCAGCTAAACTCATGGGTGGCTACCAGAACGAGCTGACAAATAAATACCATACCCACAGCTAGGACTGCTCAGAGCACAGGAGCATGCATAGAGTACCAGGGAACATCATGTACTGTGTACGCAGAGCACACAATTCTTAAACATTCGTAACACTTACTCCAGATTTCTTCCAACATAGTCTGTAACTGCTTCCTCAGGAGCATGCACGTGCCTAAGCATGAAATGTTAAAGCAAAGCTGGTTTTAAGTTGGTCAAGGAAGAGAGAAAAGGAAAGAAGTCTGAAAATGTCTCTGGTCAAAGAGTTTCTTACTCCTCATTGGGACAACTGGCAAAAACTAAAAAAAATAAAGAAACAGTGTGCTGTTCAGAGCGAAGCAGACACTGGTATTTATCTGAAAGAACTGGAGGCATATATAAATAAAGTTTCAGACTGCAGGAGTCATCTCAACTCAGCTCTAGCACCTTCACTAAAGCAAGTGTACCCTGCAGGCATCCAGGATGCTGTGCAAGCACTCTAGGGTTTCTGGATTCCAACACTGATTCAAGGGGATCACCCTAAATCCTGATTTTCTAGCTCTATTTTCAATACCTTTTCTCAGGAAAACCTGCACTGACTTCAGTAGGAAGGTATCATAGATGAGAAGTAAGAAATGCCACCAACTAACAGGGCAACTTCAATTTACACACCTACAGTACAGCTGAAATGCAGTTACTTCTGGATTCTTAACAAAAAAACCTCTGGTTTGTATTTGCCTCACTTACAAAATTGCTTTGGTACACTAGCCTAAGTATACACTGGAGAGGAAAGACTAAAACTTCAAGTTCTTCAGCTGTGTTAATAGGGATATCAGCCCAAAATGTATATAAATCACACACCAAAATCTGTCCCTATTTTCCCCCGGAGTGTGGCGATCGGCCCGCACGCAATCACTGCTGAATAGCACAACTTGGTAGAAGGACTGGCTGCCCAAAGCACCTACCTCTGACAGAAAGTATCAGTAATTCCTTTGTGTCTCTACAGTGCAAACAGGATTTCGGCTTTGCTGATCTTACCAAATTTGTACAAATAAAACACCAAGTTCCATAAAAATGCAGCAATAATTACAGAGGGAGAAAATTTGTGTAAAAAGCTCATTTACTGGTTTGCTTGACAAAGTATATTATGATTCAGGTTGCAAAAAAATGAAGCAAACAAACAAAACCCGGAACATTTAAATTCCTCCGATAAAGCTTAAATCTCCTCCCTTCAAAACATCTCATTTTGGAATGTTTTAAGGATTTTCCTTCCCCCCCACCTTTAAAAATCAATTCTCAATAGAAATCCTTAGTTCACAAAGAGAAATTAAAACATTGCATAGCAAAGTATCAAAACAAAACATTACCTCTCTTTTGGAAAGACAAACCTTTTTCCTTGCAATGATTTAGTAAATTTGATTTCAATTCAATGTTTCTGTTGACGTGACTTAGCATTTTCAGACAAAAAAGTTTTGCAGTGGTGTTTGTCTAAATAATGTAATACTAAAGACAGCACAACAGGGAAAAATATCATCTCCCTTAACTAAAATGTGACTCAGTATCAGAAATGCTGCTGCCATAATGCTACTTTGCTATACACCTCCAATTGTTAGCTGCTGTCTGGCTCCCCCCATCCTATTATTAGGCACCAGAGTTCTGGTGCAGGAAACTTTTATGGGCGGTGTACACAAAGCACGCCTAATTTCTAACTTGCACTTCATCCTCTTTTCCTTCAGCACATCGTTTCATTTTCTTACAACCTTAACTTCCCCCATTTGCTCACCTAAATGCAGAAAAGCCCAGCATAGGGATCGCTGCCTAACAGTTTTTCAAACTCGGTGTGGAGAAGGTGCCCAAATGAAATAAATAAACGGAGGGAAGTTTATGAAAGTGAAAGGAACGGCAGGGAGCAGCAAAAGTGGCAGCAGGCAGCTCTGTACCCCTCCTTAGACTGACACAGGTATATCCCAACTTCACTCACTCAGGCAGGAGAGACAGGGAGACATGCACGGGTATATATGGACACACCGAGAAGTGCCAGAAAGGGCACAGGAAGAAGCAAAAGAGAGAAATAAAGCCGAAAGGTGTTATTTATTTTTACAACTCAACAATGAACTTCAATTTTGGCAGAGGATTAAAAACAGCCCTGGGAAATGATTAAGTTTTTTTTTTTCTTTTCTATAAAGCTTCAGCGCAAAAATAGAGATTATAAAGGGGACACGCTCACACGGGCACACATAAAATAGAGGGGAACTAAGGAGAAGGAAATGAAAGGAAAAGAAAACAAACAGCCTCCTAACAGGCCCATACTGCTAACAGGAGTCCAAATAAAGAGTCATATGATATCTGATAGTGCAGGACACGTCGCCAGGAGCTGGAGCGGATTGCCTGCAGGAAGAAAGAGCCAGTGTGTTACTGCTCAAAGAGCTTTTCTTTCCCCCTTTTTTAAATTTTTTTTCCCCTCTCTCTCTTTTCTCCTGTACTGTGAATGTGTTACTCTCAGGTCAGGTCCACGGAGTCCCCAAAAGACAGCTATCGTCTTTCTCCCTACTCCTGGATGCAGTGACAGCCACTGGAAGATGCCTTCTGTAGTTGAGACTGAAGGGGCTAAATCTACGTTTCAGCTCTGTTCTGACCTCTCTCTTATATCATCACCTCCAGGGTTGCAGATACAAAATTCTCAAAAAAACATGTTCGATTAAAAACAAAAAAGAGGGGACGGAGAGGTCAGGTGGGGGAGAGAAGAAAAAATATTCAGGCAGAAACAAACCAAGACTGCTTATTCTATGGAAAACTTCAAAGGCCAAGTCCCATTTCTGCTCTCTTTTGCTTACTTTTCCTGTGATTTTTTTTTTGTTTTCTTTTTTGGAGAAAGCAAGAGAGGAAAGTCACAGAAAATATTCAGACCATGAAAACCATCAAGAGTCGGGAAAACTCTCTGAAGGGATGAAGAAAGCAAGGATTTTAAGCAAAAGAAAGGCATTTGTGATTTGTCAAAAGTTTTTCTATTTGTTCTGGTGGTCCATCCCTCTTGGCCAAGTACTCCACATTAAACTGGGGAGCCTGCTAAGTACGTTTAGCTTGGCACCACTATTGCATTTGCCCATGGAAAGGCAGAAAACCAGGGTTACCTGCAGCAAAGGAACCTCACTTGGAGTGGAGGACTTCAACCTGTGATGAGTCCCCAGCTTCTGCTGGGAGAGCTGTGCCCACCGCAGCTTTGGAAAGCGAAAAGTCCCAGCTAATGAAGCTATGGAGGTGCAAACTCCCAGTCTAGATACTGGTATGAAAACAAAACTGCGGTTTAACTGGTGGTTTCACTTGTCATTTCCCTGCACTTCTGCAAGGGACAGGCTGTATTCTGCAGGATGTTTTGCCACTGTAGGGTACTGGGATTTCTGAAGTGGTGCAAGCAGAGCCCAAGGCTGGATTTTTTCCTCCCCCTCATCATATGAGGAGATGTAAATGGACTAATTCCCCGTGTACACTTACACAGTGCATAGGTGTTGCTTAAAAACAGTGTTACAACACATATGCGATACCTCCGAAGCTGTAACAGACAACCTCTTCTGAGGAAAGCCTGCAGCACGAGAATAAAAATAAAGGTATTGTAGTAGTAGTGCAGCCAGAAACAGTCATCGTAACTCTGTAATAATTTGATCTAGTTTTGTGTATTGTGTACTGATGATTTTCAGGGGAGATATAACATAGTTTCCTCTCTTGTTTTCTGTACCTTTGCTACAGGATGCCATTCTTAGATTGGCAATTTGTCAAAGCCAGGAAAATACAAATCAATATAGGAAGGAAGGCAGAATTCGGCTAAAGAAAGCACTTCCTTAAGCTACTGAATTTGCAGCACTCTGTATTCTCAAACATCAGAACCCCTGCACGGGAGATGCTGTAGAGAAGATATCCTGTGTCCTATACACTATTTACAATAAAATTCAAATCAAGCATCTCCTTGAACGTGATGCACTATTCCCTTCTATATTACATGTGACTTTCTCATATACAAATAGACAAAGAGTGTATCTATAAGAAACACATTCAGAAGAACAAAAAATCTACAGTACAAGAAAGTCTATCCTGAAACCCTCAATCTGGGGTTCGATTGAAGAACTATACTCAGAAGGTGAAATGGAGCCATTTAAAAGAAGGTCCCACTGAACAGGAGGAACAAGCAAACAAACAAATAAACAAAAAAATCCCTGAGCTCCGACTAATCATTTGAGCTGCCAATGAGAGGTGACTTTTAGACAGATGGTCAGGGAAAAGCTGGGTCCGTGGACACAGACGTTAGTGCCCCATCTGTATTTTAGGATCCTAGCTTCAACAAGCCATTACCAACTTTTTTTCTAAGTGACAGAAAGTGAAAGATTTCTGTTCCCACTAATTTGCTTCTTTTTTACCGAAACCATTCTGCTTCTTATTTCCCCCCCCCAGTAAAAATTTGTTGGTTGATTTTTTAAGTAAACAGAAACTGTTTTCAATATAACTTTTATGTCGAAAAGGAAAAAAAAAAGTGCTAGGTAAGTTGGCAAAACAGCAATTGGAATTTAAAGAGAGAGTTAAAAAAAAAGGAGAAAAGAACGACATACCAAACTCACTTCTTCTTGTCCCCCTTCCATTCCTGTTCTTATTAATTCCAAATTATAATTTGAAGGTAAGGGAACTGCATTTGCTTTCAATCTATTTTGTTGCTGCCACACATTCTGTGCTTTGCTTCTCTCTCTTTCTTTTTAGGAGGGGGGCAAAAAAAATCCCTAATAAAAATAGAAAAACATATCTCAGGCGTTAAGCTCGCTCTCCCCCTTCCTTTGTAAAGAACTCTTTGTTCTCTAGTGAAAATGCTGAAAAAAATCCCCGGGCTCCCTGAAACAAGTGCAAAACACTTAGAGGCTTTTGGGCTGGCGAGGAGCCAGAAACCCTCCCGCTGTCTGGTTAGGAAGAGAGGAAAGAGAGAGAGAGGAGAGAGAGGGGGGAAAATTGGAGCTTCCTTTAATAGACATAGGAAGCAGGTCCTTTTTTTTTTTTTTTTTTTTTTTTTTTTTTTTTTTTTTTTTTTTTTTTTTTCAAAACTGGCGGTCAAGCGTTAAGTAACTCCCTGTCTAAATCCACCTGCTGGAAATGAACTTGGGTAACCCCCCCAGGGGTGCACAAA